TTCGGAAACTATGGATACATTTTCCAAATCGAACGAAGAATTGGTGGTGGCAAAGCAGGAGCTGCAGAAGGGCACAAAATACTGACCGATGGTGTTTTAGATTTTTTAAATAGATTTTAAGGTAAGGTATCCTGAATTAAATGCTTTTTTACACACATATTAGATTATAAGGAAATATATGTAAGGTCTAATGAGTAAACCGTGTTCAGCTTTTAGAACTATTTCAGAAAATGGAATCAAATATGTTGTGATTTTTATTTTAGATTTTTAAATAGATGTTAAGAAAGTAGTATGTAAGATTTTGTGATATGAACTTTTTTGTTTTCAATATAATATATATTTCCTTTTTTTACAAACGGGTTGAAGGCTCTTTGGTTCTATATTAAGAAGAAAAAAAAATGAAACTGAAATAAATGTAATAATAACTTACTGAAGTATGAAATGAAAGCATTCCTTATTGATTCAGCTTCTGTTACGCTTTGGTGCAAATCTTCGGATTGTGGTTGCCTTCTACTACTGTCGAAAGCGTTCTGCTCAGTTAGCCAAGAAAGTGAAACTGGGCCATTTTCCGCTACCAAAAAGTTGTGCAAGACAAAACAAGTTTTTATAATAGAATTCGTATTGTCGATTCTGTTACCAATGCCTACACAGGTATGGATGTTATTAGTTTTAGTGCTTTTCTTTAACATCCACTTTTATGTTGCTTAATTTACTTGCTTTTAATTTGAATTTAAATTTCTATGTGGCATCCATCTTAAAAATACTATTTGTAGCTGTGCATAAAACAACAACTTTAAGAAGAGCTTACCAAGTGCTCCCAAACATTGAGGGAATCGAATGTTTTTAAAACCGTCAACACACTCTTCAATGGTCTCCCTACTTAGCGGAAAGTAGTTGAAATATACTGGGTGCAATACTTTCCATACTTCTTTACAAAATTCCAAAAGAATTGTACATACAGTAGATTGTCCCACTTCAAATAAGTTCGTAATACTGCGATAATCCGCTGATGACCCAAGTGCATAAAGGGCAATAACCACCCGTTTCTCCAAGCAAATAGAATTCTAGAAGTTGGTTTCTTTCTTTTTAATGTGATCCAGAAAGCTACACAATTTCTGGAACGCCCTTCTTTTTAATCTAAAGTTTGGCTTGAAGAAATCATCTCCGCAGCATTGACACTTGACTTCCCAAAACGTGTTAGCTCGATTCTGGAAAATAGAGTATATTCGTAAATATATTTGGAGGTCACGAGTTGCAAATCGAAACTAGTTACTTCTTTAGTAGTTGGATGAGGATTAAAAAATTGCCGCTTGCTTGTAGTCTCCTTAAGTTTATGTTGTTTCCAAGGAATGGAATGGAAGTGAACGCAAAAGCAATGCGACAACCGCAAAGTGCTCTCATCGTCGTTTATTAAATTATAACGGAGTACAATAATAAGTGAAACTAAAACTAGTTCTTACAGTGGCCAAAGAAGAATAATTATAACTAAAAATAAATGTAGGTTCTTGTTGTGCCTGAAGGCACCACAGTACTCCCCGTTTAATGAAAGCGTACAGGTGTCCTTATGGTTCGTTTTGGCCTCAACCGTTGGGGCGGTTGAGGTTCTTCGTGGAGATTGACTGGCTGTTTTTCCATCGGACGTTGTTTTTGCTTCGGTGATGGCGATGTCACCTCTGCTGGTTCATCACTTACCCAAACATATGCTGGTTTTAATCGGTCGATGCTGATGTTGACTTTCCGTTGGTTAATTAAAATCGTAAATAATTTTGCGTTTCGTTGAATTACCTTGTATGGCTCTCGTAAGGTGTCGTTAACGATGGGCGGATGGAGTCGTTTCGAACTAAGATGTGTGAGCACTTCATCATGTCAGGATGGACATAGCTCGTCAAAGTTAAGTGAAATATGGTTTGCGTAGGCCGGAGTTGCTTCATTGATTTTCGTAGGTTTTGAAGAAATTCGTAGGGCGTTTGCTCGGAACGCGCTTCCTCAACGAATTCTCCCGGTATCTTCAACGTCGTGCCGAACAACAACTCGGCTGGGGATGCTTGAAGATCGGGCTTATATGCTGCTCTAAGGGAGAGCAGAAGTAAGGGTAGATTGTCTGTCCAAACCTCTTTACCGGCTGCCAAAATAGAAGATTGCAGTACTCTGTGCCACCTTTCTATTATGCCGTTAGCCTGCGGGTGGTAAGTTGTTGTCGTGATGTGTTTTGTTCCCAATACCTTGAACAATTCCTTCAACAGGTGGGACTCAAACTGACGACCTTGATCGGTGGTGATGACCTGCGGACAACCGTAGCTGGCTATCCACGTAGTGACTAAGGCTCGTGCGACAGTTTCAGCCGTCATGTCGGGTATGGGAACAGCCTCCGACCAGCGTGTGGACCGGTCGATTAAGGTTAGGCAGTAACGTTGTTCATTGTGAACAGGAAGGGGCCCGATTATATCAATGTTGATATGATCCAGGCGTCGGTTGGGCGGCATGTATTGTCGTAGCTGCGATTTTGTGTGGCGATTCACCTTCGATTTCTGGCATGGAATGCAACAACGCGCGAAGAAGGTAGCCTCTTTACGTATATTCGGCCAAATGAAGCGTTCGGTAACCATCTTTACAGTGGCTTTGGTACTTAGGTGTGACATCTCGTGGACATTTTTTGATATTTGCGTTCGAAACTGCTTCGGTATGAACGGACGCACCGTTCGCGAAGATATATCACACCACAACTCGTTTTTACAACCTGAAATTTTAAGAAGCTTAAATGTTAGAGAAGTTATATTATCCTTGAGCAACTCCTGAAGCTCAGGGTCAATTTTCTGTGCTTTTGCTATCTCGCTGTAATCGATCGAGAGTTTAATTTCGCAGATTCTAGAAAGTAGGTCTGGCAGGTGATTGCTGGAACCGTTGATGTGTCGGAAATTGTTCGAAAACTGGCTTATAAAATCAGGCTATCGTCGTTGGCGTAGTGAAGCCTTATCGCTGTTCTGCTGATACGCGAATATAAACGGTTTGTGGTCTGTGAGTATATGAAATGATCGACCCTCAAGCATATACTTAAAATGTTTAACAGCTTTATATATAGCCAGGATTTCCCTATCGTAGGTACTATATTTCTGTTCCATAGTCGTCAGCTTTTTAAGGAAGTACCCGAGAGGCTGCGGCCCCTTTTCTGTAAGCTGGTTCAGCACAGCTCCCAATGCGACATCGGACGCATCGGTGGCCAGAGACAAAACAGCGTTTGGAAGTGGGTGTGCCAATATAGCGGCGTTTGCAAGTTCGTGTTTGCATTTTTCGAACGCAGCCGTTTGTTCGTCACTCCACTGCAGCGGTGTCTTGTCATTCCGCTTATTTCCTGGGATCATTGCTGTAAGTGTTCTCTGGTAAGTGATTGCGCGAGGCAAGAACTTGCGGTTGAAATTTACGGTAGCTAAAAACTTTTTCAGTTGGTGTGCGACTACCGGCTTTTCGAATTTGGAATTCGCTTGAACTTGTTCAGGCAAGGGTTGAATGCCGCTTCGCGTTATTAAATGACCCAGGAACTTTATTTCTTTTACCAAAAACTCACATTTGGCCGGATTGATTGCCAGTCCGTACTTCCTCAGGCGCTCGAACACTGCACGTAAGTGGCGTTGGTGCTCTTCGTGGTTAGCGGATGCGATGAGTATATCGTCGATGTATGCAAACGTAAACTGCAGCCCACGCAGTGTTTCGTGAATCAATCTCTGGAACGACTGGGCGGCGTTTCGCAGCCCGAATGGCATGTACGGATATTCGTAGAGACCGAATGGGGTCGTTATGGCCGCCTTGTGGACGTCATCTGGGTGAATCGGTAGTTGATGATACGCCTTATGCAAATCTATTTTGCTGAAAATTTGTTTTCCCTCCAATATTGCTGCAAACAGGGTATTGGATACCTGTCGGGCGTGGTTTGGGCGTTTAATCTGCGATAATCTCCGCATGGGCGCCATTCACCATCGGCCTTCTTGACCATATGCAATGGGCTGGCGTAGTTGCTATTGGATGGGCGGATAATGCCCTGTCGTAACAAAAACTCGAATTCTTCTCTATCTATTCGTAGTTTCGCTGGATCGAGGCGTCGGGGACGGGCAAAAACGGGCTGTCCGAATCTCTCTATCCTGTGTTCCGTTACAAAAGCGTTTTTGCGGCCGGATGACAAACGCGTAATGTCGTGAAACTCTGCTAGCAGGTCAGCAAATTTTGAAGCGCGATCGAACGTTTTGATTGCGACGCACCTACCCTCTGCCTGCTGCACAGTGCACATATCTTCGTCATGCTGTCGATCACTTTATTATTCTTAAGATCAATAAGTAATCCATAATGGCGTATGAGGTCTGCTCCTATGACATCTGCAACTGTGAATATCCAGTCGAAACATCTTCGTAGGCCGAGGTCGAGGCTGAGTCGTCGTTGACCGAATGTAGCGATGGTCGTACCATTGGTGGCGTAGAGTTTCACGGAGGATGGCGTCACCGTATGCGAAAATTGACGTGGCAGAACGGAGATGTCGGCGCCAGAGCCAATTAAAAACGAAATGGCGGATTTTCGGTCGTTGATAGAAAGGCGGTTTACGATGGCGTCCGCCGAGAACTTTTCGCCAACGACCGCTTCGAATCATTTCGAGCTGTGATCACCTCTGCTAGTCTTATAGTGTTTGCATGATGGTCTACAATTCTTGCTATTGTATCCAAATTTTCGGTGGTACCAGCACTCATCTAAGTTAGCAGGTGTGCTGCTTCTACGGCGCTCGCGAGACTGCCGTCGGCATCTGCATCTATCACCCTTCCTATCGGTGTTGCGATCAGTATAGAGGCGGTCGAAACGTTGTGCTAGCGCATTGATGGCGCTTTGTAGCTCGTTGTACTAGGTGTTGGCTTGCGATTTTTCTGCATACGTGGCTGATGCCGGAGTAAGGCAGCAGCCTTATTCAGCTGTGCTGCTGTTCACCTGCAGGCTGATAGTGTCGACGATGGCGTCCGCAATTGTTAGGTATTCTTCCGTGGGCCTGAGTACGCAGCTGCAGCAGCTTGAGCATAAACTGGTAGACGTTTTGCCCACAGATTCTTTACCGCTGATTCTCTCATTGTATCGCCGACTAGCCGCATCATTTCCGTAAACAACTGACTAGGCCTTTGATCACCCAACTGGGTTTCGTTCAGCACTTGATTTAAGCGTCCCTGCTGGCTGTTGGTGCAGAAGGTTATTAGTCGCTGTTTGACGAATTCATATCGACCCTGGTCAGGCACTTCTCCTAACGTGGCTAGGAAATCTTGCAGTGTACGTGGACCGAGAGCTGTCACCACCGTGTGGAATTTCTGGGTATCGCTTTTGATACCCATTGCAAGGAACCAATAATCAAGACTTAGGAACCATCCTTCGATCTTCCTGCGGTCGATCGTTGGCATGTCGATTTTTACGGCTACAGCGTTGACATCTGAGGGTGTTAATTGAGCTGCGCCTATGGGGGTATTGGACTATTTCCTGTGGCTTCGTCCTTTGTTTCCAAAGGTGCTGCTGCATTCGAATAATCCTTAGATGCCATATTCGCTGTCTTAAAAACTATAAGCGATATAAGCTGACGTGTGGTTTACGGTTTTTCGGTAACTGTCGATGCAACGGATCTTCTTTAAAACGGGGTCTCCACTTTGGAGGTCACGAGTTGCAAATCGAAACTAGTTACTTCTTTAGTAGTTGGATGAGGATTAAAAAATTGCCGCTTGCTTGTACTCTCCTTGAGTTTATGTTAAATTTCGAAATATTGAAATCTCAAGCATTTCTGAAATTTACCGTTATATGAAAAGCGGCCTCAATTTTAGGCCGATTTCAAAAATTTTCAACGGTTTGCTTTTATGTGGCAAGCACAATAACCATACCGAGTTTGGTACAAATTGCTAGAACGGTTAGCGAGATACATATATGTGATCACAAGTGGGCGGTGCTACGCCCATTTTCCAAAATTTTGTTATAAACGTATTTTTTGGTAAAGAACTGTTGCAACCATTAATTTTGAATAAATTAGCTTCAATATTTACTGATTTATCGAAGATTTTGTATTTCTCGAAATTACCGTTATATGGGATGTGGGCGTGGTTATTGCCCGATTTTAGAAATTTTCGGCCATTTGGTATGCTGTACCAGGACCAACAACTTTGCCAAGTTTTGAAGAAATTGGTGTAGCGGTTACCAAGATATACACATGTAACCATAAGTGGGCGTGGCTACGCCCATTTGCCAAAATTTTGTAATATTCTTATTTTTCGTCTAAAACTCATTACAAATATCAATTTTGAGTTAATTATCTTCTGTAGTTACTAAAATATCGCAGTTTTCGTTTTTCTGAAAATTACCATTATATGGGATTCGCCGATTTCGCCCATTTTCAATACCATCCGTCCTACGCCCAAAAGAAGTTCACGTACCAAGCTTCGTTAAGATATCTCAATTTTTACTCGAGTTATCGTGTGCAAAGACGGACGGGCGGACGGACAAACAGACAGTCACCGCTTAATCGATTTCTCTTTACATTCTGATCATTTATGTATACATTTGTCTACATCTATCTCGATTCGTTTTGCCTGTTACAAACAACCGTTATGTGAACAAAGTTATAATACCCTTGTGCACAAGTGCGCTCGGGTATAAAAAAGGCACAGGTTCTTTCGTTAGCATGAAGTTCTAAGTGGATGTACTCCCAAATGACAACTTGGACAAAAACAGAATTTCCATAATACTAGCGCGCCTTTTTCTTATTTCACTGATGGATGCATTTGTCTCTTCAATGTTGGCATAATTGAGGGTCATAGACACATATAATTTAACCACAAATAATATAAATTTCAATCGACGCATTTTAATTTAATTTCTCTGCAAATGGTATCGTTGTATTATGTATGTAATCAGAGTTTCGAACTCGCGTAAATGTACATTTACGAAATGTGGCACCATGACCACTCTTCAAAAAACCAGTGTTCCAAGTTGTTAAATTTGCTTTTTAATGTCAGCATGAACGCTGCATTACATGATTGGTACATTTGTACGGATATGTACATTTTGGCAGTTACAGAGTAGTGTTGTTTGGAAATTCTTTTATTAAGCTGAACTCAAATTTCTAAAGAATACCACTGTGTGACTGCCAAAATGTACAAATCTGTACAAATGTAACAGTCGTGTGACACTGCCTTTAGCCCAGTACCACATCATACAGCCTCAAAATCAAAAAGGAACGGCAATATTAGCCTGTTCCCGCACTCCATGATTTAGTGAGAAATTGTTCGCAAAATATATGATATATGTGTGAAAGAAAACGACTTCGGACTAAATCCTGGAGTGCGTGAACAGGCTTATTGTCTGTAGCTAACAGTGATGTCATGTGCAGATTCAATGAAAGGAAACAAAGTGTGGCCACAAAATCATAAAAGTCTTAAGATGGGAAGAGTTACCTTCAACTTGTGAATTAAAATGTATCACAATTTATACTAAGCTAAAAATAAAGGTATCTTTAAAAATTCGATGAAAAACGTATCATTTTGTTCCATTTGGATCAAAACGGCAACACTGCTTGTAGATACTGCCAATATGGAAGTATTACAAGTGGGGTGTTCACAGTTCGTTCCAAATTGTGTCTGAAAATGTAGACGTCTACATTTTGAGACATCTTTAGCATCAAACTGTGAGCACCCCTTTCTAGCAGTCGTCGCAAAATCGTCTCAAAACTTTGCTGGTGTTGCCAGACATTTCTTCCTTGCGTGCATTTTTTATATGTCGCCTTTCGATTTTGTATCTGAAAAAAATGTAACTTTTAACTTAATTACCAACTCGTAATATTTGTTATTTCTTTTCCTTGATTTGTTTCTTTTCATCAGAAATTGCGCTCAAATTAAATGCAAATACAGAAAACGTGCCCAATAAATAAAAAAAATGTGATTAGTATTGCCATAATGCAACCCTGCTGCGAGGTTGCAAAATGTAGACGCGTAAAAAACATACCTTTGAGTGTGACAAAATGTAGACGGCGTCGTTTTCCAATTTTGTATGGGAAACAACAACACCACAGATTTTACGGTTAGAAAACGTCTTAAAATGTAGACGTCTACATTTTGAGACACTATTTGGAACGAACTGTGAACACCCCAAAGGTTCATAAAATAGAAGGTTACTGCAAGGTGCTGTTAAAAATTTGGTTTCCTCCAATGACATAGTTGCGAAGTGAGTTCTGATTGGCTGAAACATTTTACGAAGAAGGAGAATCCAGAACACGCAGAAAATATAGTTGCCGTATAGCACATTTTAGGAATCCTAATCAAACGGGAATTTCTGATATAAAATCGTGGCAAAGCTTATTATAATAACACAAAAGCTCTGATCCAATACTTTTCGTGTAAAATCCTGTAAAAATGTCAAACAGCAAAATTTCTCTGTGAAGTGAGAGTACAAAAAAAAAATAAAATTTCGTAGTCCAGTAATTATGTTTAAAAAAGTTTTGTGTTTTTCATATAAACCCAAATCAACATTACCCTGTGTCCGTACCTATAAATGTAATTTATTCATTTTGCTTATTATGTTTGCAACTAACGATCTGTTTGTATGTATTCTTGTTGATGTTTTTAATAAAGAAATCGCCCCTGAAGATGCTGAGAAGGACAGCGCAACGTCGGGCTGGAAAGTGAAGAGAAAACCCTTTTTGTTGCACAGGATCAAATAGCCTAAAATACAAAACACTATAAAATTCCATAAATTGATCGTCAACTCATCGTCATATTATTCAACATCGGAAGGCCTGCCGAAGTAATCTCTTTATCTACATCAACAACAAACAAACATACAAGAAACATGAAGGATTTTTGCAAGCACATCAAATACAAAGACGGGGAACACACCTGCATAACCCTAAAACACTTTAAAAAGCAAAAACAAAAGCTGGAAAAACAGATGACACAGCTTCAACTCTTATTGGAATGCAGACGATATGAGCTTTTACCCAACCACCTGACAAACGCAGCAAAAAACATAAACTACCACGTCCTGAAAATGAAAGCAAAAGTAGAAAACACAAAACGACTGTTTCTGAAGAAAATATTAAACTTATAAATTACACAAACAAATATAAACATAAAAAACACCAAAAACTGTATATATCACGCGAGGCAACAACTACAACGCAGCGTAAGTGAATTGGAACTAAACTCCTTTGTTTGTAAACAAAATAGCCTAAGTAAAAGAATAACAGCAGAACGGGGAAATATACTGTTTAGAATATTTGATAAATTGGAATATTTAATGTTCTTTCAAATTTCAGAGATATGGCATTCCTCTTTAGAAAAATTCTAGGACGTAAACGAACTACAACTAACTTAAAGGAACGCGAGGACGGAGAGAGAATTTTGGCGTTCTGACTTGTCATTGTTTTTTTTTTGAGAGCTTGGTTTTTTGATACAAGGGAGGATGGTGCCAAAAACGTGTATAAAACTGTTGTGGAGATTCAATAAAAACTTGGTTAAATTTTCATATGCATTTATATTGGCTAGTTATTTATAATTTACAGTCCACGTTTCGTTTTGCAAGCCGATTCTATGAAATTTTGTGATTTTGTTGAATGCGCACATCACTAAACACGTGTCGCAATTACTATCGCACGTAAAAACTTGACAGTTGCGTACATACATCGGTAAAAACCTGTTTGAGCCTTCAACGTCTCGTCGCCTGGAATTGTGTCCAGACTTTCCAAAACCAATTGGCAAGAGCACATCAGTGTGAGCCTCCAACGACTGTTCGCCCAGAAGTGTGCCCAGTAACCTGAATATTTTGTCAAGTGGCAAGAGCACATCAGTGTGAGCCTCCAACGACTGTTCGCCTAAAAGTGTGTCCAGTATTCAGAATATTTTTCCAAGCGCCAAGAGCACACCTGTGTGAGTCTCTACCCGTGGAAGAATAAACGTGCTAGTTTTACTAGCCCGAGCAAACTCGTATGAGCCTTCAACAACTGGTCGCTGAAAGTGTGTCCAAAATTTTCCAAACTAATTAGCAAGAATACATCAGTGTCAGCCTCCAACGTGTGTGTACAGTATCCAGCATATCTGGTCAAAACGCACGAGCACACCTGTGTGAGCCTTAAAATACTTAGCCCCCGTTGTTTTAAAGTACAATCAGCCTTTCAAAAAGTGCCAAGAGCATACCTGTGTGAGCCTCCGTCTTTTGGTCGTAACGTAAACCGCACAGTGATTATACGACAATTACCAAGCCTAGCCCATGCAGTGTACCAAACTACAACAGCGTGTCAACAGGACTCAATACATTTAGTAAGATCGAAATCAACGCTACACGGCAGCCAGCAGCTGTTCAAAGCAGCAGTTGTGACAAAGTTTCAAAACGTGAAATTAATGCAACAAAGTAACCATGGATAAATTGAAAGCGCAAGGCAAACGATTAAAGGTAGCCTAACACGCATATACAACGTATGTGCCGATCAAAAGACAACGGCGGAGGGTATAAGAGTTCGTGCAGAAAGAGCGGATGACTTGTTTAGATAGTATGAAAGAATTCATCTAGAAATCGACGTGTTGGCTACCACTAGAGAACAGCAGGCAGAAGAAGAAGTGTACCGCACTGAGGTGGAAGAGAAATATTTCGCTATTAAAACAATTTACACGCGTTTAATGCAACTTTCTGCGGGAAATGATACTGCTATTGACCATCAAGCGATATATCGATCGCAGTTCAGAACCTACTAGAGCATCAGACAACAATGGGTGCATTAATCGAACGAATGTTTGTGACAGTGGGATAGAAAATGGTTCAAGCCCAATAAACGCCAGCAACTACACACAACAACAACACATCCAACATGAAATGCGTTTGCCACGCATTCAGATACCAGAATTTGATGGCAAATGTACGGACTGGATCCGTTTTCGCGACTTATCCGAGACACTTGTACACAACAGACAAAACATTTCCAATATTGAGAAGCTAGAATATTTGCAAACGAAAGTTCGAGGGGAAGCACTTTCGCACATCAAACATTTAAAACCAGCCAATGCAAATTACGATTTTGCCTGACAGCTAATTAAGAAAAAATATGATAAGTCCGACAAAGTAAAGAGAGCTTATTTTGAACTTTTATGCGATCAACATGCAATGAAGTCTGCGTCAACGGCAGAAGCTAAGCGACTATATAATACAACCAACGAAAGTATAAATGCGTTAAAAGTGCTTAATGAACCTGTTGAACATTGGGATTCAATTTTATTGCTGATGTTAGAGAAAAAGCTTGACGCCGAGACGCGTGTTTTGTGGTATAGGGAAAAGAAATCTGAGGAAGAGCAATCGATTCAAGATTTCTTGAACTTCCTGGAGAAAAGACTTTACGAGTTGGAAAACACCCAAAAGACTACAGCGGTCAATACATCTCGAAGTGGCATCGGCGACAAGCGCAACCAAGCGCGCACGCTTTCAACAATGCTACATACATGTGTTCTTTGTTCAAAGCAGCATCAGCTTTATCAATGTAAGCAGTTCCTAGATATGGAAGCGAATGCGAGACGCAATCTGGTTCAGAGGAGCAACATCTGCTTTAACTGTCTGCAGCCAGACCACCGCGCATCAAACTGTAAGAGATCATCGTGTAGAAAATGTGGAGCAAAACACAACTCCCTGTTACATACAACATCAGCAGCAAGTGATGTTCAGCTGTCAGCAGTCAATACGAACGTAGAGCCATCTATTGTCAGTGCAAATATCACACAGCAGAGTCAGCGGTCTATCACATTGCTGCCAACAGCGATTGTCGTGCGCAATAGATGCAACGAGTTGAACCCATGTCGCGCTTTGCTGGACTCAGGGTCACAAGGCACGCTTATAACCGAATCATGCATACAACGACTGCAACTGAAACGAGGCTTTGATAGAACTATGCTATATGGGATCGGTTCAGTCAATGGAAGTCACACTAGAGGAAGGGTTGAATTGCATATCGAGGCGATACAATATGACACCATAATTAGAACTGAGGCATTATGCTTGCTTAATTTAACTCACACATTGCCTCCATGCGATATAACCCATCAGAGTTTGGCATTTTTCAATGAAGTTAATCTTACAGATCCATCATATTCGAAACCTAATAAAATCGACATCATACTTGGCGCAGATGTCTTCACTAGCTGTTTACTGCCAGAGAAGTTGACTCATCCTAGCGGTTCACCGACTGCAGTCAACACAATTTTCGGTTGGGTTATAATGGGTAAAATAAAGGGAGCAGACGAGCAACACATTGTAACTGCACATACATGTGTGGATTTAAGTCAGCAACTTCAACGCTTCTGGGAAGTTAAAGCTCTACGAGAACCGATGAATTACCTGACAGATGAAGAGAAAAAAGCGGAAATACATTTTCAACAACATACTCATCGCGATGAGCAAGGCAGGTACGTTGTTAGGCTTCCGTTGAAAGAGGATGAGGTTAAACTAGGGGAATCACAGTCTGCTGCGCTTAAACGACTCATTTCAGTGGAGCGTCAAATCGATGGTGATGTGCAACTCAAGAAAGAATATGGGAAATTTATGGACGATTATTTATAGTTGGGGCATATGGATATTAGCAGCACGGTAAACGTACACGGAACGTACTTCATACCACATGACGCAGTATTCAAAAGAACATGTGCCACAACAAAACTACGAGTAGTGTTCGACGCATCCTGCAATAGTTCAAATGGATTGTCACTCAACGACAACTTGTTAATCGGTCCAACAATACAAAGTGATCTTTTCGATATCATATGCAAAATCCGGAAATGCCGGCGATATTGAGAAAATGTACCGACAGGTATTGGTACATCCAGATGACCGGCCTTTGCAGCGAATATTGTGGATACGTTCCATGGAAGAACATATTGCTTACGATCTTCGCACCGTAACGTTTGGCACGGCAGCTGCACCTTTCTTAGCGATTAGGACACTGCAGCAAGTGGCATATGACTACTCTGATGAAAATCCTGACACAGCATCTGCAATATCGAACAATTTTTATGTACATGATTTCTTGGCATGTGCTCCCACGTCAGTAGGAGCAGTGAAGCTAAAGAACGATGTGTGTTCAATATTATCTGAGGCAGGATTCAAGCTACGTAAGTGGTAGTCAAATTCGAGAAGGTTCTTGGGTACAATTGACATAGATGATTGTCAAAAATCTCCTGATGCAATTATCGACACCACAAGCGCCGTAAAAACACTTGGTTTGCTTTGGGAGACTTAAACAGATAGCTTCAAGTACAACGTGGCCTTTGAAGACATCACATTAACCGTGACAAAACGTAAAGTACTATCGGATATCGCCAGAATATTCGACCCAATCGGATGGATTGCTCCGGTCGTTATTAAAATGAAGATTTGTATGCAAAAATTATGGCTAAAGGGCGTAAGTTGGGATGAAGAGCTACCATGTGAGCTATACAGCGAATGGTATGATTATAGGCAGAACATCAACAGAATTTCAAAACTTCGTATACCAAGGTGGCTTGCTTTCACTGATGACAGCATTGTTGAGTTGCATGGGTTCTCGGACGCGTCCGAAGTAGCATTTGCAGCAGCGGTTTATGTGCGTATACAGCGGAGGGATGGCGAGGTGTTCACCTACTTAATTGCAGCTAAAACCAGGGTAGCTCTGGTAAAGCAAATCACGTTAACGCGGCTTGAGTTGTGCCCTGCACACTTGTTGGTGAAGTTAATAGTCAAAGTACGACAATCTTTAAGTTTCGAAGTAGTTGACGTGGTTGGTTGGACAGATTCGTCAATTGTTTTGGCGTGGTTGGCAGATCATCCTCGCCGCTGGAAAACCTTCATTGCAAATAGAACTTTCCAAATAATAGACGTCATACCAGCTGAGCAATGGCATCATATACCGTCACAATACAATCCGACAGACCTTGCTACAAGGGGAATTTGGCCTGCAGAGCTTGTAACTTGTAAATTATGGTAGCAAGGACCTGACGTACTGATACATAAATCAATGTCACATATCGAGAAGCCATCTACGTCACCGAATGTCGGCATGGAAGAACGAAAGGCGGTTCAGTCACATACAGCTATCATACAAAGTTTTGACCTAATTGAGAGGTATTTAAAATACACGCATCTTTTACGCATCACTGCACTTCTGTTACGCTTTGTACACAACTGCAAAAGTGGTAGCTCCAAGCAACCGAAAACAGCTACCGGGATTTCAACCAACGAGCTGCAGCACGCCCATAACGTATTGGTGAGGAAAGAGCAAAGAACATACTTTACACAAGAGATACGATTACTATTGAAAGGTAAGTCTCTACCTATGTCAAACAAACTGACGACTCTTGCACCTTTCATCGATAACGGTGGCCTACTTCGGGTTGGAGGCAGGATTGTAAACGCTAACATCAACTGCGACCAGAAGCATCCTTTAGATATCCACAAAGACAGCCATTTGAACCGACTTATCGTGATGTATTCCCATCTGAAGCACCTACACGCTGGAAGTCGTCAACTTCGTTACTTGCTTAGACTAAGATCCCAAGGGGTACATACACAATTAAACGATGTGTTTTTAAATGTGCAACGTGTACGAAAGTACGTGGAATAGCTTACCAGCAACAGATGGGTAATCTTCCTCCACATCGACTAAACCCAGGTGCAGCCTTTCTCAATACGGGTGTAGATTATGCCGGGCCGTTACAGGTGCGTTCCTGGAAGGGACGAGGGTCTAAGCTATACAAATATTGGATCGCGCTCTTTGTGTGCCTGTACATATCGAGCTTGTTACGGAACTGTCAACTGGGGCCTTTATCGCATCGCTTCGTCGGTTTGTCGCCAGGCGCAGAAAGCCCCTGCACTTGTTTTCGGACAACGCCACAAATTTCGTGGGGGCCAATCAGCAGTTGCGCGAATTCTTGTTTGCATCCACAACAAAAGAGGGCATTTCAAAGGAACTAGCGGATCAGCAGATACAATGGCACTTTTCACCACCCTCTGGCCCACATTTTGGTGGGATATGGGAGGCTGGGGTAAAGTCAGTTAAGTACCACCTCAAACAAGTTTTAACAGAAGCAGCAATAACATATGAGGAAATGTCTACAGTACTTTGCCAAATTGAATTTTGTCTGAACTCTCGGTCAATGTGCATCAAATTCGAGGGAGATGTCGATCCATTAACTCCGGCCAATTTTTTGATATTCCGTTCACCACATACAATGCCCGACGAAAACTTGGTCAATTTAAAGGAGAATGCGCTCAACAGATGGCAAGACCTTCAGCGACTGGTTCAAGAAGAAGTGGTCTGTAGAATGCATACGCCAGTTGCAGCAACGACCAAAGTGGGCACAAAAACTTAAAAATATAACCATTGATGACGTTTTGGTCATAAAGGATGACAACCTTCCTCCATCAAGTTGGGCAATAGGAAGAATCGTTGAGACACATCCTGGACCTGATGGTCTCGTTCGAGTAGTTACCGTAAAGACAGCAAAAGGAACATTCAAAAGACCAGTAGTGAAGCTGTGTCCATTGTTTCTGGATCATTGAAAGCAGGTGCTTTTCAGAGGGGCCGGAATGTTTAGAATATTTGATAAATTGGAATATTTAATGTTCTTCCAAAATTTCAGAGATATTTGGAAAATTCTAGGAAGTAAACGAACTACAACTAACTTAAAGGAACGCGAGGACGGAGAGAGAATTTTGGCGTTTTGACTTGTCATTGTTTTTTTTAGAGCTTGGTGCCAAAAACGTGTATAGAACTGTTATGTAGATTCAATACACACTAGGTTAATTTTTCATATGCATTCATATTGGCTAGTTATTTATAATTTACAGTCCACGTTTCTTTTTGCAAGACGATTCTACGACAAATACGTTTGTCTAAATTAGAAAAGCTAAAACCTCAACAACCTAAAAATCTAGGAATAAATCTAAACAACGATTGGTTTGTAAATAAAACAGCAATAGAATTTGATGAAGAGTCGAAATGGTTATTATCCCTGGGAAGAAAATTCGCATTACTGACAACAAAAACTATTTCAAACCGGTACAAATGATAGCAGAAATGGAACAAATAATACAACCAATAGAAGACAATAGGACCAAAGAAATAGCAAAGATGCAAGCTGAGTAATTGGATCATCCAATTCAAACGCAGCATAAAACACAATGCAGCTGAGAGATTTATTTTAGAAACATTAAATAAAACAAAAATACTCTTAAAACGACACAAAAATTAAATAAGAGTAACGGGGGCAGACAGGGGAAATAAAACGGTGGCACTTTACAAAGCAGACTATGAGGAGAAGATAAAAAACGACTTGAAGATAAAAACACATAGAAAACAAAAAGAAACGACCCAACAACAACACTACAGAGAAAAAACAATGCCCTGGTTATACAAAAGTGCAACAATTAATTTCAGAGAGAAACAACAGTTGGCATGCGCCGCTGCGACTGCACCGAGACTTTACGGGTTGCCAAAAATACGCAAACCAGACTTGCCTTTACGGCTATGGATAAATTTTCCAAATCGAACGATGAATTGGTGGAACTAGAAAAGGAAAAACTGATGGCAATGCAAGCTGCAGAAGGACACAAAAAGACAAACGGATGGTGTTTTAGATTTTTTAAATAGATTTTAAGGAATAGTGTGTAAGGTATCCTGAATTTAATACTTTTTTTACACATTTATTAGATTATAAAGATAGTATGTAAGGTCTAATGAGTGAACTGTTTTTTTTTAGCTTTTAGAACTATTTAAGAAAATGGAATCAAATATGTTGTGAGTTTTATTTTCTTTTTTGTTTTAGATTTTTAAATAGATGTTAAGGAAGTAGTATGTAAAATTTTGTGATATGAACTTTTTTGTTTTCAATGTAATATATATTTCCTTTCTTTTATAAACCGGTTGAAGGCTCTTTGGTTCTATATTAAGAAGAAAAAAAAATGAAACTGAAATAAATGTAATAATAACTTACTGAAGTATGAAGTGAAAGCATTCCTTATTGATTCAGCTTCAGTTGCGCTTTGGTGCAAATCTGCGTATTGTGGTTGCCTTCTACTGCTGTCGTTAGCCTTCTGCTCAGTTAGCCAAGAAAGTGAAACTGGGTCATTTTCCGCTATCAAAAAGTTGTGCAAGACACAGCAAGTATGGGCCTGTTCGAGGCACGTAATAAAAGCGGCAATACTGCAGCACTAATGAAAATTTGCAATACTGTTGCAACTTCCCAACTGATAAAACGTTGCTAGAAATTCACACCGAACGTGATACTTTAATAATTCGCGCAACACTGCGGTTGTGATTGCATCTCGAACAAGCCCTTTTTATAATAGAATTCGCATAGTCAATTCTGTTATGCCTTTACCAATCCGGCGAAACCTATAATTGTACATACACAGGTATGGATGTTATTAGTTTTCAGTGTTGCCAGAATATTTTTGTACCCCATCCCCATATCGGGCCGCAGTTATCCCCAAAAAATCCACATTTTTCTTTTAAATCCCCATTTAAATCCCCTTTAGTAAGAAATAAAAAAAGCATGTATTCACATTTGTGTTAGTTCATTTTAATCCAGTTTTCACATTAATACAGTTTTCATTTTAACACAGTTTTCTTTTTATTACAGTTTTGAATACTTTTCTCTACACATTTTCACAAATTTATATATGTATATGTACATACGTACATATGTACATATATGCATGAGGTCATTTGGTTATACGTACAACTATAGTCAGAGATTTATTTAGCACCAAAATTCAAAGTTATATGTTTTTACAACATATGTTTATTTATTTAGTTTTACTAATTTTCTTTTAAAATATAATTCAATCTACAACAGAAAAAGCATAAATAAAAGTTTAAAATCAAAAAGTAATCAAACTTTTTTAGTGTAATAAAGTACAATCTCAAATAACTAAAGAATACCATTTATTTTTTAATTTCTTTCGTGGACGTTGTTGCGAAAATTGTTTGTTCAGTGAATGCCAATCAAAGCAGACATCTGCGCGGAATAATGCTTTGACGGCGTTAGGAAAACCTTACAAACATATGGCGCAAAAAGTATGTACTAATAAAATCTTTATAGGAGAAATTTTTATGGGCAGCCAGAAAAATATATGTTTTAATTTCAATATGAAAGTTTTAAACCAAACTAAAATCCCCATAAAATCCCCAAATCCACAAACGAAAAAATCGATCCCCAAATGGTTTCATAAATCCCCAAAATGGGGCAAAATCCCCACATTTGGCAGCTCTGTTAGTTTTAGTGCTTTTATTTAACATCCACTTTTATGCTGCTTAATTACCTTGCTTTTAATTTGAATTTGAATTTCTATGTGGCATCCATCTTAAAAATACTATTTGTAGCTGTGCATAACACAACAATTTTAGGAAGAGCTTACCAAGTGCTCCCAAACATTGAGGGAATCGAATGTTTTTAAAACCGTCAACACACTCTTCAATGGTCTCTCTACTTAGCGGAAAGTAGTTGAAATATACTGGGTGCAATACTTTCCATACTTTACAAAATTCCAAAAGAATTGTACTTACAGTAGATTTTCTCACTCCAAATAAGTTCGGAATTCTGGGATACTCCGCTGATGACCCAAGTGGATAAAGTGCAATAACCACCCGTTTCTCCAAGCAAATAGAATTCTGGAAGTTGGTTTCTTTCTTTTTAATGTGATCCAGAAAGCTACACAATTACTACGTTTATACGCATGCATAAGTCGCTTTAATTCATTTCGCCGCGATTCAAAACATATCTATAAACTGAATTTCAATTCGCTTTGAAAGAGCGAAGTGTTTTGGCTCACACTCCATTTCAAATCGGTAGTTTATTTCTCCAGACAGTTAGAAAGAGTGTATAAACACCGCTCTCACTCAAAGCGAATTGGAGATCAGCTGTTCCGCTCAAATTCCAAATAATCGCATCAGTATTTAAAAGCTTAATAATAATCGTTTATAACAACACAAAAGCTCTGATCCAATACTTTTCGTGTAAAATCCTGTAAAAATGTCAAACAGCTAAATTTCTTTGTAAAGTAGTTTGGTTAGGTTAGGTTGGAGTGGCAGACCCGCGCAGAGCGCGTAGCACACGTGGGCTGGAAAAGGCCGTTGTGATACAATTGGCCGAAGCCATTTGTTTGTTTCCCTTCCTTAGTAATTGAACCACCAAGTGCGTTTTATATAGCACAAAAAGTCGAGGACGTTCGCCGAGTTCAAATCGGCTTAACAATCTAAAAAGTACTTGTTGAAGAATCGGTTGCGCGTGTTGGCCAAGGCGGGACAATGGCAGAGATAGTATTCAACGGTCTCCTCCTCTTCCTCGTCTCTGCAACTGCGAAAACGATCGTTGGTGGGGTATCCTAGCCTTTTTCCGGGTGTGCCCATCACGGTGATTACCCCGACTACTAATCTGAGATAGGAGCGGTCCAGCCGGGTAAGAGCTATGGATCGCTTTACATCAATCTTTGGCCAAATTTGCCTGGTAGTATGGCAGTTGGTTTCCACAGCCCACCTGAAATTTACCTCCTCGACGAGTTCCGCGTTTAGTCTGTGTTTGCAGGAGGTTAGAGGTATGCCCGCATTCTGAGCAAAATTCACTTCAGATATTTCCGTCCCCCTCCTTGCAAGCTCGTCGGCTAGGCAGTTGCCAGGAACGTCTCTATGTCCAGGGACCCACACAACAGTAAAGGAGCATTTTGATGCCAGCAGGTTGAAAACCTTCCTGCATTCTATGGCTATGGCTATGGATGTTTTTCCGTTAGAATTGAGAGATTTGATAGCAGCCTGGCTGTCAGAATAGATAGCAATAGGCCGTCCTGGAGGGGCGGAGGTTATGACCCACCGTTCCGCCTCCATTATGGCGTTTAATTCTGCTTGAAAACCACTACAATGGTCCGGTAAGCGAAAACTGAGGTTTAGCGCGAGCTCGGCAGAGTAGATCCCGCTAACCACTCTTTTGCTAACCTTGGAACTATCTGTATATATGGCCCTAGACCCTGAGTTCAGTGATGTGGCCCCTTCCCATTGGTTCCTCTCTGGGATTATTGTGGAGAATTTGTTGTCTAAACAGAGTAGAGGAGTGGTATAATCTATCTGTCGTAGATTATCCGGTAGATTTTTAAGTACTTTTGCGTCCGAATCTGAGGTCTCTCCACGGCTGGATTGTATTTAACCTGGCCGCACTGCAGCCGGCCCGAAATTTTCCGTAGAGATCCACAGGTGGAAGATTTAACATTATTTCCAGAGATTTGGTGGGTGTAGTGGGCAGGGTTTTGTCTAGAATAATTCCAAGGTATTTTACCTCGGATGAGAGAGTAAGTGCCACTCCGTTTAGGGTGGGAGGTTTAAATAAGGGAGTTTTATACTTCCTTGTGAAAAGTACCATTTCTGTTTTGGTAGGATTGACGCTAAGTTCACATTCCTTGAACCAGATGCTTACGAGACCGAGTGCGTTTTGCAATAACTCACTCAGGACCTGAAGATGTTTGCCCGTTGCCAATATTGCTATGTCATCAGCGTACGCTATGACTTGACAACCGGTGCCCTTTAGGCTTAGAAGTAGGGTGTTCACTGTTAGATTCCCGAGTAGAGGGTAGAGAACTCCCCCTTGGGAGGTGCCTTTGGTCACATACTTTGTGATGGAACCGTCCCCCAGTTCTGATAGAATAGTTCTCTTTTCCAGAAGGAGCCCAACAGAATCTACCAGACACCGAGAAAAACTCCGAGCCCTTTTTCAATCGACGATATGATTTCATGGAGTGCGGTATCCATGGATTTTCCTTTGGAATATGCATGATGGTTCGGGGAGGCGTTGTAATTTTTTATATTCCGTCGAATATATTCGTCGATGAGCCTCTCTAGAGTTTTAAGGAAGAATGAAGTGAGGCTTATAGGCCTGAAATCCTTCGGTTTCACATGAGCGACCTTGCCTCCTTTTGGTAAGAATACAGCTTTTGCCTTTGTCCACTCATGTGGTATGTGAGTCAGGGTTAGGCAGGATGTAAAAATCTGAGAAAGCAGCGGGCACAGTAAGTCCTTAGCTTCCTGTAGTTGAGCGGCAAAGATTCCTTCAAGGCCCGGAGATTTGTAGAGCTGGAGGGACATTAAAGCCCATTTCACCCTCTCCTCACTTACGACGTCCGTAAATCACCCAGAGACAAGTAGGTCCTAGGACCGGGAGAAAAGCCGGAGGTGTCCTCCGATCAGCCTGGGAAGTGAGTGCTCATAAGGACCTCCAGAATTTCGTTACATGATGTCGTCCAGTCATCGTAAGGCTTCTGGATAGAGTTCATACTCGAAGAGAATTTCGAGTGAACTTTCCTCAGCCTGTTGGCTTCAGAGTTCTCTTCTATGTTGTTGCAGAAGTTTTGTCGAGATTCGCGTTTCGGCCTCTTTATGGCCTTCTTGAAAACTTTGAGTGCGTCTTTGTATGGTTGCCAAAGACCTGTTTGCTTAGCATGATTGAAAAGCCTCCTGCTGTTCTTCCTCAGTGCTGAAATCTCCGGATTCCACCACTGGGGTTTCTTTTTGCCCTTCGGGAGGGTGCTTGGGCAGGAGGCTTTGAAAGCAGCATTACAGGCATTTGTCACAAAGTTCACTGCTTCATCAATTTTCCACGATGAGTCCAGCTCACCGAGAGAAACACTATTCGTATTCAAAAGACTCGCTTCATCAGGTCTGTGAAGTGAGAGTACAAAAAAAAATAAAAATTTCGTAGTCCAGTAATTATGTTTAAACAAGTTTTGAGTTTTTCATATAAACCCAAATCAACAATACCCTGTGGCCGTACATATAAATGTAATTTATTCATTTTGGTTATTATGTTTGCAACTAACGATCTGTTTGTATGTATTCTTGTTGATGTTTTTAATAAAGAAATCGCCCCAGAAGATGCTGAGAAGGTCAGCGAAACGTCGGGCTGGAAAGTGAAGAGAAAAGCCTTTTTCTTGCACAGGAACTTAGTTGATCAAATAGCCTAAAATACAAAACACTATACAATTCAATAAATTTATCGTCAACGCATCGTCATATTATTCAACATCGGAAGACCTGCTGAAGTAATTTCTTTATCTACATAAACAACAAACAAACATACAAGAAACATGAAGGATTTTTACAAGCACATCAAATACAAATACGGGCAACACACCTGCATAACCCTAAAACACTTTAGCAAGCTAAAACAAAAGCAGGCAAAAACAGATGACACAGCTTCAATTCTTATTGGAATGCAGACGATATGAACTTTTACCCAACCACCTGACAAACGCAGCAAAAAACATAAATACCACGTCCCTGAAAATGAAAGCAAAAGCAGAAAACAAAAAACGACTGTTTCTATATTAAACTTATAAATTACACAAACAAATATAAACATAAAAAACACCAAAAACTGTATATATCTTGCCAAGCAACCACTACAACGCAGCGTAAGTGAATTGGAACTAAACTCCTTTGTTTGTAAACAAAATAGCCTAAGAAAAAGAATAACAGAAGAACGGGGAAAGATACATTTGTCTAAATTAGAAAAGCTAAAACATCAGCAACTTTAAAAGCAAGGAATAAATCTAAACAACGATTGGTTTGTAAATAAAACAACATTAGGATTTCCTGAAGAGTCGAAATGGTTATTATCCCTGGGAAGAAAATTCGCAATACCGACACCAAAAACTAGTTCAAACCGGTCCAAATGATAGCAGAAATGGAACAAATAATACAACCAATAGAAGACAATAGGACCAAAGAAATAGCAAGATGCAAGCTGAGTAATTAGATCATCCAATTCAAACGCAGCATAAAACACAATGCAGCCAAGAGATTTATTTTAGAAACATTTAATAAAACAAAAATACTCTTAAACGACAAAAAATGAAATAAGAGTAACGGAGGCAGACAAGGGAAATAAAACAGTGGCACTTTACAAAGCAAAGAAGAAGATGAAAAAACTACTTGAAGATAAAAACACATACAAAACAATAGGGCTATTCGCGATTCGGTGCATAAGAGCTGACAAATTTATGGAATTGCAGAAATATGCCATGGATTGTGAGCGACCTTTATTAAACTGTCATGGTAAAGCTTTTGCAAAACAATTTTTGTGCATCAGCTTTGGTTTTGTTTATGAATGCAATGCATAGCATTTTTATGCTATGGATTTTCGGTATTGCAAATTTGCCAAGCCATGACAAATGCAAATGCGTGTATTTTGTTTGTGTATTGCAAATAATTTGCAATACAAATTTGCAATGCAATGATGCTAGGCCATTTGCACCGGATCGCGAATAGCCCTCATAAGAAACGACCCAACAACAACACTACAGAGAAAAAACAATGCCCTGGTTATACAAAAGTAAAACAATTAATTTCAGAGAGAAACAACAGTTGGCATGCGCCGCTGCGACTGCACCGAGACTTTACGGGTTGCCAAAAATACACAAACCAGACTTGCCTTTACGGCCCAATTCGTCATCAGTAAATATTCCGTGTTATGGTTTGTCAAAATATGTAGGAAAAATCCTCAACAACCTTGTTTCAGAAAAGTACAATATAAAAAATGCGTTTCAACTGAAGGAAAGACTATAAAAATCAATAAATTGATCGTCAACTCATCGTCAAAAAGCATTTTTCCTGCAAAAACGTCAAACAGCCGATCGCTTGACACTTTTCATGATTTTACCCGAAGAAAAAGTTCGGGTAAAATCTTGCAAATTAATTCTCTACACAACTCTCCAAAAATCGCTCTCATTTACAGGATTTTGGAGTACGGGAACATTTTTCCTGTAACTTCCTGCAAGTTCGTGTAAAAACCTGTAATACCATGTTCGGGCAGACATCGAAAACATGTTTTCGTTGCTATAACTGGTTTTCGACCTAAAACTTGTTCTTTCGTTCATGTAAAATCCGTCAAACGAAAGCCAGTTTTCGCTGAAAACATCTTTAAAGCTCACATTCGACTCTTCCCAATCGGTGTCTGCTATAGTTTTTTCGATTATTTATCGAAGTGGAAGTCATATTTTCTCATCTTTAATATGCCAATTCTGATTTATTGTTATTGCTGGCCAAATTAAGATATGAACAAAAGAAAAATGTAAGGTGCTAATGATAAAAAAAAAATGAACTACAAAGATCTTGATTTTGTTTTTTCGTAGCAAAACTGTAAACAAAGGATGAAAGGATGTCAACGTAAACACTAATACCATATTCTGACCGACAACGAAAACACTTTGAAAACGAGTTTTGGGATTGTGGGCTAAAGGCTGTTCACACCGGCTGTTAGTGTTTTCGTTGACATTTCTTACATTTTTGGATTACAATTTTGCTGCACAAAAACAAAACCAAAATACTTTTCCTTCATTTACATCCATTTACATTCATTCTTATTTTGCTTTGGCCAGCCAATTAACAATAAAACCGAAATGGCTTATTAAACGTGATAAAATATGACAAATAATATGAAAAATAATCGAAAAAAACTAGTGAGTACACCGATTGAAATGAGTGGAACGTAAGTTTTCAAGTAGTTTTCAGCGAAAACTGGTTTTCGTTTTACAGATTTTACATCAACGAAAACACAAGGTTTAGCCACGAAAACATGTTTTCGATGTCGGTCAGAACATGGTATAACAGCCGGTGTGAACATTTTTCAGCCAACAATCCCCAAACCCTTTTTCCAAGTGTTTTCGTTGTCGGTCCGAACATGGTATAAGTTCATGGAGTACTGGATCAGAGCTAAAATGTTATAGCTTCACGTGAAACTGGGTTAGCACAACGCACTCGCGCATTTTTAAATAAAAAGCGTTCATTGCATTGACAAAATTTCGCTACCGAAATTGCATTCATTATGCATACGGTAAAACCTAAATTACCTTTTTAAGTGTAACTTTTGCAATCAAAAACAGCGCACTTAAATTTTTAATAATTTAAATAAACTCAAAGACGCAGAAAGAAACGTAAACTTCAACGCAAATTGTCAAACGGTAAATATCAGGGTTACACATATTTGAAATAAAACATGATGTATTTTTGACTAAAATAGTGTGTTTTTGTTAGATAATTTTTTAGGAATTTGGCAACTCCAAAAATTGAGCCATTTACGCCATCCTTCCTCTACGTTGGTCATCTTGTCGTGGCGGGGAAGCTTAAATGCAGTCAAGGTATACCTCACAGTGTGGGGTGCACCATGGAAACATGAACTTAGAGGGAAGCCCAGTATTGCATCCTTCTGCAGCACTTCTAGACGCTTCAAGATGAAACGTTGCTGTTTGAGCTGCTGAGGAGAGCAATATGGGGATTACCGCACCAACACTACCCAAGCCAAGGTGTGAAGGCCACCGTGCCGATAGATGAATGGCCAGCGGGTAGTAAAATGTGGCTGGTCGCGAACAGTCTCCTCTGATGCCCGGGCAAGGTTGGATGTGGACTGTCCGGACTACTCGTGGGACCACAAATGAATAATAAAGAAACTAAACAAAAACAACAACAACAACAGCAAGAACAAAAGCAAAAGCCTGGGGAAGATGGGACGCTATGAGAGGGAGAACAGCTCCTGAATTCCCTGCGAAACCAGCAAACCCGACAGCGATTTTCTCTGTTGGTGCCAGCCATAGCACCTCAGAGGAAAAAGCGGGAAGCAGCAGCAAAACGGAAGCTGCCAGCCATAGTACCGACGTTTTGCAATTAGACAATTTTAGTACCGGTAGTGCCAGCCATAGTACACCGGAAGAAAAACCAACATGTAGAAATCACGCGGCCGGTATCAGCAGTACCCAGCTGCAAAAGCATAAGAAACCCTCAAACGCGTTCAAGAAGCAAAGGTACCAGAAGGCTCTGTATATGCTTGACAAAATCGAGAGGATTGCAGCAGCCGGACGTGTAGACGAGCACGATGAGGAAGATAAGCTCAGATATATGGCCATGGTGGAAGAGTATGAGAAATTCCAAACGGAACGTACTGCCACCATGGGAGCTAGCGAAGCCCAAAAAAGAAATCGATCTCAAAACGAGAGTGGAAACGGAGCTGACCCCAACATCCACCAAGAAGCGCTATTTCAGCGACGTTGCAAGATACCATCTTCAGACTTCGTTTATCGAGGAAGCTAGCAGAACGCCGCTAGCAGTGCAGCAAAAGTGGGTGGAGATCGATGTGAGGCTGTCGAGTCTCGTAATGGACTACGTAATCGACAACCCCGAAGGTCCTCATCCAGAGTTTGACCCATCGGAACCCCTGAGGGGATACCGGGTCATCAAATACGCGGACCAGTTCTCCTTGGATTTCCTCGCTGGATGTGTAGCAAAGATTAGCGACGCATTCGAGGGCTTGAATCTCAAGCTCATACCAGCCAAGTACATCCCTAGGAGGCGCCGTGCGCGCATTTGGTTACCTCAGATAGCCGAACCAGGCGAAAAGTTGCTGCGGTGTATAAAGCTGCATAATAAAATCATACCAGCAATAGACGAGTGGGAGTTCATCAAAGTTTAAGAGCCCAGAAAGCCCAAAACAAGCCAATTCTCGTTGTTATTTGCTCTGAATGCTTGGAGGCCCTAACAGAGGCCGACTATAACATTCGGTTCGGCATTAGGAAAACTAAGGTAAGTATATTCCTTGGTGAAGTCAGCGCAGTAGAAGAGGATCCAGGTGTCGACAGTGCAGGCGAACTCCTTATGGGAGTGAAACTAAGCGATGAACCGGATCAGTAAGATAGTTCAAATAAATCTGCAGCACTCGAAGTGTGCTACAGATAGTCTAGTCGTACTTCTCAGCGAGAAGGACATCGACATTAGCCTAATACAAGAGCCCTGGGTCAGGAACGACGTAGTAATGGGCCTTAATATCAACAATTACAATCTCTTCTAAAAGAGCGAGGCTGGTAAACCACGGGTGTGTATTCTTATCAAGAAGGGTATAAATGCATTTCTTTGCTCTAATTTCAACACAGCAGACACAACAGTAGCTAAGGTGGAGACGGCAGGACAACAGGACGTCTTGTTAGTGTCGTCTTATCATGACCGAGACAGTCCGCCACAGGAAATCAAAACAATGGTAGACCGGAACCCCAGACGAGCCATTGTCATCGGATGTGATGCAAATGCCAAGCATCCAGTTTGGGGCAGCACAATAGAAAACGAGCGAGGTGAGCCACTTCTACACTATTTACTAAACAATGTCTTATCACTGCTGGATACTCTTTAATCTACGTGGAATATACTACACCCCATCTAAATACAGGAACCCACGTAGAACCAATTTGGAGAAATACAATAGAATTTTGACGCGAAAACTAACTAAAGTTAATCTAGTAGAAAATATTTCCTCAATTGATGAGATAGAATGAATCGTAAGCAACTTAGAGGGGGCGATGACTAAAGCCTATGAAAGATCAACCCCACAGAGTGTCATGAAAAAAAATCCCCGCCATGGTGGAATGGGGAGCTTAGAACTCTTAGAAATAGCGTTAGAAAACTTTTTAAGAAGTGCTTTAGGTCCTTGAATTGGGTGCCCTACAAAAGTGCGTTAAAATCATATAAAAAGGAACTAAGAATAGCAAAGGCCAAGTCCTGGCAAACCTACTGTTCCTCGATAGAAAATGTAAGAGATTCGGCTAGGCTAAGGAAGATCCTCTAAAAGGAGCACACCAACCTATCATTTATTAAAGATATAAATGACGTATGGACAAACTCCACGGATGAGTCTTTAAAAACACTAGTTCAATTGCATTTTCCAGGCTGTGAACAGAATGCAGCAGCTTCAGATGGAACAGAACCCACATACATACCCAATAGAGAACTTGAAACAATAATAAGCACAGAAAAGATCATCTATGCAATAAGTATCCCTTTAAATATCCAGGCCTAGATGGTATAATACCGGCCATATTACAGAATGTAAAGGAGCACATAGCACCGCTACTTGAAACCCTCTATAGAGCTTGTATTAGTATGAACTATGTCCCCCAGAGCTGGAGACGTGTCAAAGTAGTGATCATCCCAAAGCCCGGTAGGAAGAACCACGAAACAGCGAAAGACTTTAGACCTCTGAGCCTAACTTCTTTTGTTCTTAAAGCATTGGAAAGGCGAATAGATATATATATAAGATCGTTCTTGGGGGAAAAATCCCTATCAACAGCACAACATGCTTACTCAAAGAAGAATCGACGGAATCACTCATGGGGGTTGGTGTTGACGGCGGTGTGGTTGGCTGGGTACGCTCCATGCTGGAAAGCAGAATTATTCAGGTGAAAAGCGGAGATAGTCTAATAGCTATATATGCGCGTAGAGGTACTCCCCTGGGTGGTGTACTCTCCCCACTGTTGTGGATTGTAGCACTAAACAGAATGCTGTTAGAACTCAACAGAGGTATAGTTAAAGTAGTGGCGTATGCTGACGATGTAGTGATGGCTGTCACAGAACCTTTTCTCCCCACTGTAAGTGAAATTCTAGGAAAATCGTTGGGTACACTACACCCGTGGGCTAAAGGCAGCGCTTTAACGTAAATCCAGGCAATACTGAGTTGTTACTGTTTACTAATAAGAATAAGATACCCCAATTTAGACTTCCATCCATAGGCGGAAAGACAATCCCCCTATCGTCCAACGCCAAATATCTGGGAATAATTCTAGATACCAAACTGAACTGGAAACTTAACGTTGAGAAACGTAAAGAGAGGGCCTACATCGCTTACTATACTTGTAAACGGATTTTCAATAGAAACTGGGGTTTGAAACCGAAACTTTTGATGTGAATGTACACCGCTATCATAAGGCCGGTCCTAACCTACGGCGCCATACTAGGCCAGCCTCAGACATACAATACAATGTCAGCAAACTAAATATCTTACAAAGAGCGGCATGCTCGGGGATAACTGGGCACTAAAATCCTGCCCTTCAGAAGCACTGAATGTAATCCTCAATATGATGCCCATTGATCTATGCCTAAAGGAAGCCACGATGTACTCAGCATTAAGACTCAGAGAGTCTGGGCTGTGGGGATCGAGAACCTTTGGGCATAGCTCACTGTTAGGCCTTACTTCGTTAGGAAATAGAACCACGGACTATATGGAATCAACCCTCGATTTTGGCTTGAATGTACAGGTGCGGTTTCCATCCAGAAGGGAATGGAGAAGGGGCCAAGCTGCCAATAGGGAAGCCATCTGTATCTACACTGCCCGATTCAAGATGGACGACGGTGTAGGGACAGGGATATATTCCGAAGAGCTTGGTGTCAATCGGTCCCTCCGGCTGGAAAACCATGCTAGCATATTTCAGGCTGAAGTTCTGGGCATTTATGAAGCCTCTAGAATACTAAGGAAGAGCGCTACCAGGAAAGAAAGAGCGGCTATTTACTCAGATAGCCAGGCAGCACTCCTGGCTGTATCATCTACTGTAACCAAGTCCAAGCTAGTCAAGGAATGCAAGATGGAGTTACGCTCGGCGTCTCAGTCAATGTCCATCTCTCTTGTCTGGGTTCCCGGCCATAGGTATATAGAAGGCAACGAGAGAGCCGACGAACTGGTCAAGGCGGGAGCTTGTTTGGATGAACCTGTAGCGGTGATACTGGGTTATCCCCTCAGACAAATACAAACGGAAATTCACTTGCACCTTCTGAAACTGGCAAGGAGGAGGTGGTTGATATATTTACGTGGATTACGTAACTTATGTGCTATTTAGCTGTATAAAAACTGCAAAATGACTCAAAATTAAAATAAGATAATCACCCAATTTAAAAACAATTTATGTATTCATCAGTTAAATGCGCTTCATTTGCATATACAAATAAACATATTGCGCAAAAGCTTATACTTCTATTTCCCACCAAAGCTACACTGTTTCCATGTAAATTTGCAAAGAAGGAACACGGTGCCAAGGGAGCGGTGCGAGAGAGACAACTGTCAGTTTATCGAACCTTGTATTATTGAATTATGTTGTCCAGAGAAGTGCACCAAAATGGCGCTTTTATGCGAAAATTGATTCCTGAGAGATAGCTTATGGTAGCACTACAACCAACCAACGTCATAAAGATGGCGGCCATGGCTGATGTCTAAATCCTGTATTCTATGAACCTTGGAAGTATTACATATATGATTTCATATCGTGTTCCAAAATTCGGTCCGAGTGCGTTCACTATTGATCATTTGATTTAAATAATTGTTGGCTAAGCATTCAGTACTATAATTTGATGGGATTTTATATATTCTTCAGTAATTGATCCCATTTTATTAACATATAAAACTATAATAGGGTAGAAATTGTGAAGTTTTAACGTGTATAGTCTGCCAGAGACAATTGAAGGAGAATGGAACTACTCGTGATAACATACATTAAAAGCAATGTAGATGAAAGTAATTAATACACCAGTTATTTGAAGTAAATCGGAATATATGTTAGCATATAACATAGTCTCCATATAACTCATAGGAACTCAATGTATGATTAGCACAAATCGGAGGAAGAAGGTCCGGTTAAATACAACGACTGCTTTATCGACCACATATTATAAGCATGATGTTGAAAACTTCGATAATGATGTTTAACCGGCAAATACTGATAACCAGACATTTAATAACCGGCCCATAAAGTACATATTTCATTACAAATATTTTTAAGATCCCTTTAATTTCAGAAATAACGCTAATTACAGTATATTTTGCTTTGCTGTCTCTATGCTTAAGTGCACATTTAAGATACCTACCCCAAAATGCGCATCAGAGGCATTATTTTTAACATTTATAAGGAAACTGCTCCGATAGATGCATTTAGCATACCTGCACATTGGCGATACCTGCCTTAAAAAATATGCGACTAGTATCAATTATCAAAGAAAGTATTACATTTACCTGCACTGGCCCTACAATTACCTAATTTTACAACTTTTTATTTATTTTGTTCAGCTCACAGAACAACGAAAATGGCTATAAATTTATGTAGTTATATAGATAATTAGATACTATTCGGTAAAAATTTCGCTTGCAGTAATTTCTACGTGGTAAGTGCTTCTCCATTATTTGCTTTCATAGGGACTTGGATAACTTCCTCATTGAAGTAGTAAAGAAAATTCGCTTAAGTGCCTTTTTCGGTTAAGTGCACAAGTTTTTCGTGCAAAGAAGGATGTGCAGCTAAGCAAAATATACTGTAGTTGAATTGAAGTATACAATATTTTATTACATTCATGTTTACTTATAAAGGTCATAACAATATTTCTCTCGCCATTTAAACGATGTTAAAATTTTTTACTGCGTTATTTTGCTGCACAAGCACCCTGAATGCGGCGAAACAGTCGCTCGCAACCCTTAAGTCCTTTATGGGCACCAGGGATGAAAAATGGAAGTTTCAGATTGTACCTAATATCATAAAATAAATGTACCTAAATGAGACAGATTGTACATAAAAAAAGCTACACCATTCATTTGTGTTTTTTTTATGAATTTTATTTAAAACACGAATACAAAAGATGGATGTGCTTTAAACAGGATAACGTCTTTTTTAA